TTCTCTTCTAATTCTCATTCTCTTGCTACTTCCACCATTTCTGCAGGTATTTCCTCCAGCAAAGTCTTGAACCCCTTAAAGTCAACCATAAGGACTGGCATCAACTTCTTCCAAATTCCTGTTATATTCTGACCCAATCCCATGAATCACAAATATTCCTTTTTTTTTTTTTTTTTTTTTTTTGAGGCAGAGTCTCAAGCTGTCACCCTAGGTAAAGTGGCATCTAGAATGGTACATTTAAAATGTTAGCCAAATCAAGGATGATAAATAGATTTTAGAGATAATTTCTTTTAGAATTAATACCGAATGATACTTTGTCAGGGGCCTCCACTGGGAATTTCCTGATGGCTTTGTGTGACACGCATATATTTGTGAAAACCTGTGTGGACTATTGCTTAAGTTTATTCTTAGACAACCTCAGTATTCCAAAGATCTATAACAAACCACAGATATGGAAAATGATCCATCAGAGGAATCACTCTCTATAATAGCTGTAATCGTACAAAACCTATTTCTGGAGTTAATAACACCTGAAAATCTAAACAATTCCTTTATCCATGGCTTGAAAAACAGATGTGTTAGCAGATATGAAAACAAGATTAACCTCATTGTACTTCTCCATCAGGGATCTTGGGTAACCAGATGTGTTGTCAAAAGCAGTAATATTTTGAAAGAAATCTTTTTTCCTTAGCAGTATATCTCAACCGTAGGATTAAAATATTCAGCAAACAATTCTGTAAACAGATGTACTGTCATTCAGGCTTTGCTGCTCCCTTTATAGTTAACAGGCAGAGTAGACTTAGCACAGTTCTTAATGGCCCTAGAATTTTCAGAATGGCAGATAAGCATGGCTTCAACTTATAGTTACCAGCTGTATTAGCTCCTAACAAGAGAGTCAGTGTGTCCTTTGAAGATTTAAAGTCAAGTGTTGACTTCTCTCTAGCTGTCAATATCTTAGATGGCACCTTCTTCCAATAGAAGGCTATTTTGTCCACATTGAAAAGCTTTTGTTTAGTGTAGCTACCTTCATCAATTATATTAGCTAGATTTTCCGGATAACTTGCTGTAGTTTCCATATAAGTGCTTGCTTAGCTTCAAACTTTTATGGTATGGAAATGGTGCTTAATCTAAGCTTCATGAGCCAACCCCTGCCAATTTCAAACTTTTCTTTTGTAGCTTCCTCACCTTCCTCTACCTTCATAGAATTGAACAGAGTTGGGGCTTTACTCTGGATGAGTCTTTGGTTTAAGGCAGCGGTTCTCAACCTGTAGGTCATGACCCACAGGAACTGTATTAAAGGGTCGTGGCATTAGGAAAGTTGAGAACCACTGGTTTAAGGAAACACTGTGGCTAGTTTGATCTTCTATCCAGACCACTAAAAGTTTCTTCATATCAGCAATAAGACTTCTTCAATTTCTTAGCATCCATGGGTTCGACAGAGTAGTATTTTTAATTTCCTTCAAGAACTTTTCCTTTGTATTCACAACTTGGCTAAATGTTTGGTGCAAGAGGTCTAGCTTTCAGCTTAACTCAGCTTTCAATGTGCCTTCCTCACTAGCTTGATCATTTCTAGCTTTTGATTTAAAGTGAGAGATAGGTGACTTTGCCTTTCACGTGAATACTTAAGAGGCCACTGTAGGGTTATTGTTTGGTCTAAATTCAATATTGTTGTGCCTTAGGGAGCAGAGAAGCCTGAGGAGAAGAAGAGAGACAGGGAAACAGCTGGTTGGGAGAACAATCAAAACACGTGCGCACCTTTGTTGATTAAGTTCACCATTTTAAATAGGCACAATTCATGGTGCCCCAAAGAATTACAATAGTTACATCAAAGATAAGTGATATCAGAAACATAGTAAGTTTGAAATGTTATGAAAATTAACAAAATGTGGCACAGAAACATAAAGTGAGCACATGTATTGACTGTTAGCATTTTTTAGCAATAAAGTATTATTAAAGTATATGCTTTTTAAAAACAGAATGCTATTTAACACTTAATAGACAACAGGAAAGTATAAGTATAACTAATTATTCCTTTTTAAAAATTTCAATAGATTTAGGGGGTGTAAGTGGTTACATGCATGTATTATATATGGTGAAGTCTAGTCTTTTAGGGTACCCATCACCTGAAAAGTATACATTGTACCCAAGAGATAATTTTCATTCCTCACTCCCTACTTCCTTCCCTTCTCCTTTTTCTGTTCTGAGTCTACAATGTCTTTTATATTCTTCTCTATAACCATGAGGACCCACAGCTTAGATTCCATTTATAAGTAAGAACACAGTATTTTCTCCCTTAACAGTTTTTCAATCCTGAGTTACTTCACTTAGGGTAATGACCTCCAGTTCCATCCAAATTGCTGCAAAAGACATGATTTCATTCTTTTTTATGGCTGAGTAGTACTCTATGGTGCATATACCTTTCTTTATCCTCTTACAGTCTGATGGGCAGTTAATTTGCTGCAGTAAACATGGAAATGCAGGTGTATTTTGATATAATGACTTCTTTTCCTTTGGGCAGGTGATAGCTGGATTGAGTGGTGGGTCTACTTTTATTTCTTTGAGGAATCTTCATACTGTTTTCTTTAGAGGTTGTACCAGTTTACATTTCCACCAACATGTGTTAAGTGTTCTCTTTTCACCACATCCATGCCAAAATCTATTATTTTTTGACTTTTTAATAGTGGCTATTCTGACTGGGGTAAGGTAATTTCTCATTGTGCTTTTAATTTACATTTTGCTGATGATAGGTAATGTTGAACATTTTTTCATATTTTTGTTGGCTATTTGTATAACTTCTTCCGAAAAGTGTTTGTGTCACCCATTTTTAAAGGGATTATTTTTTTTCCTTGTTGATTTGAGTTCCTTGTAGATTCTGGATATACTTTAAGTCCTTTTTACAACCATCTTCTCCCATTTCTATAAGTTGTCTATTTACTCTATGGATTACTTCTTTTGCTGTGTGAAAACATTTTGGTTTAAGTAAATTCCATTAATTTATTTTTGTTTTTGCTGTATTTGCCTTTGGAGTCTCAGTCATAAATTTCTAAATTTCTTTGCCTAGACTGATGTTTAGAAGTATTTCCTTCTGAACATTTTGTTTAGTATTTGCATGGCTTCAGGTCTTACAGGCAAGTCTGTAATTTATCTTGGGTTAATTTGTGTGTGTGGGAAAAGACAGGACTCTGCTTCATCCTTCTCTATATGGCTAGTCAATTTTCCTATCTCCACTTATTTAATAGTGTACATTTTTGTCGGGTTGGTTAAAGACCAGTCGGCTGTAGGTACATGGCTTTGTATTGAGGTTGTTTGTTCCATTGATCTGTATGTCTATTTTTATAATGGTGCCATCCTGTTTTGCTTACTGTAGACTTTCACTATGACTATAAGTTGAGTAATGTGATATCTCCAGATTTGTTCTTTTTGCTTAAAATTGCTTTGGCTATTTGGGTTGGTTTTTTTTTCTTTTGGTTCTGTATGAATTTTAGGATTGTTCTTTGAAAATGATGTTGATATTCTGATAGGAATTGTACTGAATCTCTAGATTGCTTGAGGCTATACGATCATTTTAATGATACTGATTCTTACAATCTATGAGCATGGGGTGCTTTTCCATTTGTTTGTGTCATCTTACACAACAATTTCTTTAATCAATATTTTACAGTTCTCCTTGTAGAGATCTTTCACTTCTTCAGTTAAATATATTCCTAGGTATTCTTATTATTTTTGTATAACCATAACTATTATATGCACTGGGAAACAAAAAAATCATGCAACTCCCTTTATGTGATATTTACTTTATTAAAATGTCTGGAAGCAAACTGCAATATATCTGAGCTGTGCCTGTTTGTAACAAAGTGCTGGAGACCTTTCAAACAAAGACGTTTACACAGATGCAAATGAATAGGCTCTATAAAATAAATTTGTAGAGGTTGGTCAAAATGACTCTGAATTTTAAATTTTGAACAGACATTGACAATTTGTTCCCTGAAAATATTATACTAATTTATAGTCCCAACAATAACACAAGAGAAAGCCCATTATCTCTACATCATCTGTAGTGTATTATCTTTTTAAAACTTTCTTAATATAATTTCTCTCATTTTTAACATCTTTTCCATTATAATAAAGAGACCCAATTGGCTAATTATGAAGAAAAACTGGTACTACCACGTATATTTTAATCTTATCTCTAATAACTGCTATAGCCTCACCTGACCTATGAGAAGCTCATGAAATAGAGCAGTACCTATGAGGGACCAGTACAAACTATGGGACTTCTTTGTGTTAGATGCACTTGCTTCAATTAGATAGTGTGAAAAAAACTACTTATTACTTATTCCTATGAAGGTAAAAATAAAAAAGGTAAACAAATACTATAACTATATTCTTATATAAAATACAAAAGATAGATTTGACATTATTTCATGACTTTTCCATATCAAATATCATAAAATGAGGAACTGTCAGACTTTCAGACATCCTAGATAAATAAAGGCCATCATTTATTTAGTTTACACATTAATAAATACATTCAAACAAAATAAGATTTAATTACTAAGGAAGTGCTTTACCAGCAACTCCAATTCTGATAATTTCCCCTAAATTAACAATTTAAAGAGGAAAAAGAGATTTTTACTATCATTTGTAATGTAGAAAAAACAACTGTAAACTAGATGGCAATAAATTAGAAAATGGTTAAAGTATGATATATTCACTAAGCAGAGAACATCCAAGCATTGAAAGCTATAAACTTGATGTTGATAGTCCTATTAAAAGTACTGTTAACTTATAAAAGCAGGACACAAAATTGTCTGTATACTCTGCACTTCATTGTAACTAATTTAAAACTATACAGACATGTGAAAATATTTTTTTTTTTAAACGGGTAATTTTCTCCTTCAATTTCTAAACTTCCTGTAAGTTTTTAGAATGAAATTCATAATTAGGTAATGCAGTAATGCATTCATAAATCTGTTACTTTACTTTAAAAATATACTTACTGTGATAATGCCAATTAGTTGCGTATAAAAGAGTCCAGTTATTCCAACTAACATAGTAATGCCCATAAAAGCAGCTAGTCTCATTATGGCCAACTCATGTCTAACAACAAAGAGGTCCTATGAAGAAAAAGAAAAGTCTTAAAAACTATTTCAAGAGTTGCTTATAGTTGCAATAATCATCAATAATTGAGGCATAACATATCCTCCTTATTATCTTAAAAGAACTACCCTTCCCTCTTTTAAACTTGTTCCACTTAATCAATATATAAACTTTTGAAAATTTCAAAAATTACTGGTTTTAATATATGTTAGCCGGTGGAAAAAAACAGGATTTTACTACTCTCGCATGTCAAAAAAATCATTCAATACCAAGGTTACAATTTAACCTTGTTTTTGAGTGTGTGGTTTTTTGGTGGTTTTTGTTTTTTTTTTTTTTTTTTTAAGACTCAAGTCTCATTTTGCTGCCCTCAGTAGAGTGCTGTGGCATCAAAGCTCGTAGCAACCTCAAACTCTTGGGCTCAAGCAATTCTCTTGCCTTGCCTTGGCCCCCCAAGCAGCTGGGACTAGAGGCACCTGCCACAACGCCCAGCTATTGTTAGAGATGAGGTCCTGCTTTAGCTCAGGCTGGTCTCCGACTTGGGAACTGAGGCGATGACCCACCTTAGCCTTCCAGAGTGCTAGGATTACAGACATGAGCCACCACACCTGGCTCTTGTGTTTTGAACCTCTTTACCCAAGACAATACATCAATAGGATCATGGTGACAGTTCTCATTCACTCTTCCATCCAATCACCCAACTACCACTGCCAAGCCTTGTGCTATATAATAGAAATGTAAAAACGGCAAAGATATGCCCCATATCCCCAAGTGTGACAATTACTCACAGAGAGAGCCCCGCTTTGTAAAACTTCAAAACAGTGTGATAATATGCTAGAACTGGGATGCAGGCAGAGTACTACAGAAACATAAGGAACCATCCAGACAGGAGGAAGAAATGGAAATGTTGTGAATAAAAACGGATTTTCTGGCTAGGAGACTAAAAATAAGAGTCCTGAAAGTAAACCAAAGATACTGTGATAGAAGGACAGGAAAACAAGAAGCACTTCATTCACCCTTCCTGTTACCTAATAGACCAGTGGAGGGACAGAATCAAAGAATGAAGACTTTGACTAGAAATCTGTTACTGCTCAGCTTTGGAATAAAACAGGCCCAGCGAATAAAAGCAAGAAGCAGATGGAAAGGCCCTCCAAATCACAACCATCCAGATCCTTTCTTTTATACGATTCACAATAAGGATTGAACATATCTTAATAGCAATACCAAAAATGGGGTGGGGGGGTCATAATGATAATAGGGTCACTTGAAACAAAAAAAATTGATGTTTTTTGTGAGTGCATTACATCAAACCACCACCACACTCAAGCAAAAATCTGATTCCACACATAAATTACTTCTGCATTAGCCTGGGAAAATTTTAAATTCACTGAGGTAATTAAGGTGTTATGTAGCAAGTATTAGGCAGTTATTTCAAAACTTCAGTAAAAAGAGCTAATTCAGCATCCTTATATCAAAAGGTGTGCCTGTGAATGATAGAAAAACTCAGTAAGTTATGCTATCATGTTTGAAAACACACATTTGTTCCTACCAAACTGAGGCAATTGTAGCATAGCAATAATTCTCTGTTTCATACCCATGATTTTATCTGTGAAAAATCTTTGATGAACACAGAAAGTTGTGCCCAGATGAACCAAGCCACGGAGAAATCCACAGAACAAACATCCCTCAAACATCTACTAGTCACCTCGGTTTATCACGGGTTATGAGCCACACCCGTTTAATCTGGTATGAGAGCTTCCCCTCCGATTTCAGAGGCCCTCCTTCTGCCACTTCACAGTAACCCACACCTACGGCCCTGCTGAGGCTCGCTCCCACAAGAGAATTTCAGGCCTCTTTCAAGGTAAAGTGTCCTATCTATTTTAGTACTTATCTATTTCTTAACCATTTAACATGTATAAAAGTGTGCTACTGCTTTTTCAGATTCCTACCCTTTTAGAAGTGCAACTGACCGAGTTTGGGTATACTGTGTCCCCATTTCCCATAAGCCCTGGACTTTTATTACTTAGTTTTACACAGTGAAGTGATTTTTAGGAATGCACATATTGGATTACAGCAGAGCTTACGGTACTAAAATTATCATCTATGACCAACTAAAATCCATCCCTTTTTCTCCCAGTGAAAAGATTTTTTAAAACTTTTTGGCCAACCACAATTTATAAATGTCAGGGATGGAAATGAGACTAAAAGATCCACTTATAATATTACATTTATTCATTTAGTTATACATTTATAGTTAAAAGTATTTATGTAAAATACAGTAGTAAAAACTTTAATCTAGAAATTGCTTTTTATCACTTTTACATTTTCAAAAAACAACTGTATTCCAAGTTCACACATGCATAATTAACATCATCAGTACTAAATCCATATTTTGAGTCACTTAACACTGTTCTCTAGAGTGCATCTTTACTTCTGTCTTAAATTTTTTTTTTAGACTTAGCACTTTTTGAATCCAAAAATTGGCTTAGGAAATTTTACCCAAATCAAAAGAACCCATTTGCTATTCCAGATCTTTACTACATCATCATGTTATGGGCTAAAATGTGCCTCCCCACCCCGCAAAAGTTCACGTACTGAAGCCCGAACTGCCCTACCTCGGAATGTGATTTTATTCGGAGCTAGGACCTTTAAAGCAGTGATTAAGTTTAAATGAGGCTCTTAAGGTGGACACTAATCAAATCTGTCTGGTGTCCTTATAAGAAGAGAATATTCAGACACACGCAGAGGCACCAGGGATGCTCCCACACAGAGCAAAGGCCATGTGAACAGACCAGGAGACAGTGGCTGTCTGCAAGCCAAGGAGACAGGCTTCAGAGGAACCCAAACCTGCTGCCATCCTGTTCTTGGACCTCCAGGCTCTGGAACTATGAGAAAATGAATTTCTGTTGTTGAAGCCACCCAGTTTGCAGTATTTTGTATACTGTGTCCCCATTTCCCAGACACCCTATGCCTAGGTTTCACAGCCCTAGCAAACTAATATAATCAATATCCATTTCTTTTATTGTTTTCATTTCTTCCCATTTGCTTCAAAATATGGTCATATTCAGATAAATATGTAAAACATATGTTCAGTTTAAAGAAAAGTAACACTATCCTCTCCAGAATGAGACCCTGTGAAGCCTCCTGTGTATTCCTTCACCGGCACGATCTCCCCTCATCCTTACCCTAAAGGTAAAGGTCAGTAATTCATCCTTCAGACGTTCTGGAATCTACTATGTTTCAGCTGCATATTGCAAATACCTTCTCTCACTCTGAGACTACCTATTCACTCTATGGCATCTTTTGATAAACCCAAGTTCTTAATTTTAATGTAGTCCAATTTATCAATCTTTTCCTTTGGTGCCTTTTATATCCTGTTTAAGAAATCTTTCCTGGCCCTAAACTAAGAATGACATTCTCCTATGCTATCTTCTAAAGCCTCCAAAAGCTTCATAAATTTTTCCTTTCACAGTTAGGTTACTAACCCACCTAGAATTGATGTCTATTTTTTGGTAAGCAGTGAAAGAAAGAGATTTGCATTTATTTTTTCAGTATGGATGTTCAATCATTCCAGAATGATTTATTTGAAAAGCTATCCTTAGCTCGGTGGTTGGAACTTAAGTATCCAGACAAGCACGAATTGGATTTGGCTCTCTATTCTGTTCCCCGAGGCTATCTGTTTATCTCTGTACCAGTGACACACATCTAGTGACAATGGCTTTGTAATGTATCTCAACAACTGGTAGGCCAACTCATCCCATCTCGCTCTTTTGCAAGAATATTATACTACTGAATAGATAATTTGTATTTCCATAAAAATTTTAAAGTTAGATTGTCAAGTTACAACACACACTAAGGCATTGTATGTATGTTCATGTACACATATAACATGTTCTCATCATTAAGTTTCCTAAGTTTCCACCTAGAAATCTTGCACTTTTTCGGTCAGATTTAATTCAAGAATTTCCTGTTTATTTTTATCCCATTATAAATGGCATTTGCTATTAATTTCATTGTCTACAGTTTTATTATATGAAAATAGAATTGATTTTTAAAAAAAAAATATTGTTCTGTACTCATATACTTTTTAAACTTTCTTAAAAATCCAAAAGAATCCATGGATAAATCTACAAGAATCCATGGGTAAAACTATCTACACACCTATCACCTATGAGTAATGCTAGTTTTATTTCCTTCAGCAGTTGTAACTTTTCTTTCTCTCATCTTAACTGCATTCTAGCACTACGTTTAATAACGATGGTGAGAATGGACACTGATGCCTTGTCCCCCAGCTTGGAGGAAAAGAATTCAACATTTCATCTTAGCATGATGTAGATGAATGGATGCTGAATTTTGTCTTTGTCTTTATACATTGAGATGTGCATTTGAATTTTTTTCTAATCTATTAATGTGATAATGATAAAACATACTGAGTGACTGATTTTTTTTTTTTTTTTGAGACAGTCTCATTATGTCACCCTCCGTACAGTGCCATGGCATCACAGCTCACAGAAACCTCAAACTTTTGGGCTTAAATGATTCTCTCGCCTAAGCCTCCCAAGTAGCTGGAACTCTAGGCACTCACCACAATGCCTGGCTATTTTTAGAGACGGGGTCTTGCTCTGGCTCAGTCTGGTCTCGAATTCATGAGCTCAGGCAATCCACCTGGCTCAGCCTCCCAGAGTGCTACGATTATAGGCATGAGCCACTGTGCCTAGCCACTGACTGATTTTTAATGCAAAAATAACCTTTCATTCCTAGAACAAACTCAGCTTGGTCAGGATGGTTATATAGGGTGTCCATAAATAGACAATTACTTTAAATTGCACTCGACTTTATGGACACCCTGTATTTAACTAGATTCAGTTTGCTAATATTATCTTGAGGAGTTTTTCATCTATGTTCACAATTAGACTAGTCTATAATATTCTTTTTAATTATCCTTAATAGGTTATGTACCCAAGACATCATATACACATAAAATGAATTGAGTAGAGTCCCCTCTTTTTTCTCCTCTTTG